GGTTGGCGGATAAGAGGCATTGTTCCTCTAGGGAGTGCATGAAGGAGCGATGCGCCGCTATCATGGCGTCCACGTCTGCAGAAGCAGAAAGGTCTTTTCCCAGGGAATGCGCCGCTGCAGAGATGACAAAATCCGTCATGTGACTGTATACAACGTTCAGAAACCAGAGCATGTTGTGTCTGAGAGCGTAGCTCAGCGTATTGTTCCTTGAGTCTTGGATCTTATCGGATTGGTTATTGTGCTGCAGTCGTTGTTTTACTATTGTGTGTTTGGCTCTGCGGAGTTGCATGAGGAATGTAGAGATTCGCCGGTAGCCCAAAAGAGTATCCTTTGTGATTATATTGGCTACAGGCCAAGGCAAGATGTAGTCGAATGAAATGGCGTCCAGTACCTTGACCGAGCGGCTGCGGCTAACTGCATTGCTGTGTGCTTCTTTGGGTGTTCGGACAATAAGCCTAGAAGGATCGATGAATGGCAGGGTACTGAAGGCGCTTTGGGCCACTTCAGTGAGCAGGAATCGATCGCTCCAAGTGCCTTTCCCTCTATCGATGAGCTCGAATATCTTGCTATCGATTGGTCCGAAGATGCTCATATCTCTGCCGAGATAGATATACTCGAGTCCTTGGAGTGACGTCCATAAGCCACATTTCTGGCCAAGCTCTCTCCTTAGCAGAGCCGAAGTGTGGCCATGATTTTCATCGACTAATCTTCCGAATGAAGACTCGAGTAGGACGGAGAATGGGAGGCAGAAAGAGGATGAGTCTGGCGGTAATACTTCGTTCAGCGTTAAGGAGACCTTCCTTGGGCTCTCGTCGTCCTCGGTCGTATTCAGATGTCGCAGAAAAACCATGTTTTTGCCAGTTATGAAGATCTTGTGTGCAAAAGGTTGGATAAACTTCGGCAAATTCGGGAGCATCGATGCCTTATCCAATGCGTACCAGTCATGCCATAGCGTTCGCAGGTCACTGTCGTTTTGATTGTTGCATATGAAAAATTCAGCTGCAGAGTCATCCAACTGGCCTTTTTCCATCCACATACGGATGGGATGTGCATAGGTTTCGAAGCATGAGAAGAACAACTCAGCAAGTGTCTCGAATATGCCATCGTCGCCAGCAGCTTGTGTCAGGCACACGAGATCATAAAGTGAGTCGAGGCATTGCGTAGCAGTATCTGAAGTGCTAGGCATTAGGCTAGACACAAGGTCAGATAACATCAAAGGCAGTCTGGACTCCTGCCAAACATCCTCAGAGAGCTGCAGAAGACTGATGGACACAATTGACGCCTGAGCAAGGTACTGGTGTTGCACGTTAGATAGAAACAAGTCGAACTTTCTTAGACAGCTCTCCAGGCCCCGGTGAAACGTTTGCATATATGGAATATCCTGTGGCGCGTTGCAAAATTGCCTAAGGACGTCCAGTTTCGCTCCTGTCGAGCTGAGTGATCGCATTAATGAGAGGAATGCCTCATTTGACAGGTCTGCAATGGTGAATCTTCGGTCTATTTCGATATTACCATCAACTCGCCAAAACAGAGACGTAGGGAGACCTTGCAACATGAATATGGTTTCCCTTACTACCTGAAGCTCGGTAATAACTTGAGAAGCGGGACCAGCCTTGTCAGTGACCGGACTCTCCTTGTCTCTCCAGAATTGTGCTTTAGCAATCGAATCAATGAGTTCATCATTTTCTCCAGAGGTGAAGACTTCGTCAGGGATCATATAGTCCTCCTCTGTTGTGACAGACGTTTCTGGCTGATTGCGTGTATGGTAGCTGTCAGTGGACACTGATGCAAGGTCCTCGTCAGAGGAATCAGCGCCATAATCTACATCTTCCCAGATATTCTCGCCACAATATGCTGATCCAGCGGCGTCCAATTCATCCCAGACAAGTGCTTTCGCTTCCTCTCTGGGCTTGGCTGCTACCACTTGATCTACCCTGGACCGCTGCGCAGGGCGGTCTGCCAGCTGCAGCAGTAAAGATAGAATTTCGGGGAACCATGAGCTTTGGTGCTCTTGCAGCTCCGTTAGTCGGATACGCAAAGCATCAGCCAGCTCATCCCTACAAAGGACTTGGAATTTCTCCTGCAGCCCTTCAAGTTGGCTGGCGACGGCGAATTGATCCGTGCGCGCATAAGCATGCGACTTGAAAGTGTCTTCAGTCCGACGTTTTAAATTCCTGAAATGTGGAGTGTCCTGGACAGGAGCGTCAGCATGAGATCTGCTTTACATTATGGGCTTGGGTGCAATGCCTTTCTATCGGACTTCGCAACGGCTATAATTAGCTCGTCTGTCAGCGCGCTCACATTGGCTGCGACGGCCATGGTAGGCCATGGAGCAAGCGACAATTGCGGAAACTACTGAGATGGGACTAGATAGATCGAACACACAAAGTCTCCATTATTATTGCTGGTTGCCAGGAGGTGGTTACGCGGCGTGGGCGGCAGATCGGAGACAACTAATGGCTGACGACTTGCCATCTTGGGCATGTGGTCACGCTAGGCCCGATGGGGGAAGGCGGCAAAGAATCCAGAGTCGCGGCGGCGGCGATAGCAACTCAAGTAGACTCCCAAGTCTCCCTCTTGGTCTCGCCAGCTCTCCTGTCGCTCCTTCTCCTGCCATCTCTTCCTTCGGGGTTCGCTGACAGGCAAGATGGCTGTCGCAAGGCCCATTCGCATGCTCGGTGCCTCGTGCATCATCCTCATCCTCTTCCTGATTTTCCAGATGAACAAAACGCCCGTCATTAGTAAGGGGCCATACGCAACACAGCCGTATGAGGGCATAACTTCAGATCCTCTCAAAGAGCGTACGCTACCCCAACGTCATTGTCTTGCCTTCTTTCGCATCATCTCTATTACTTCTGCTAACTCACTTTCTCGCCTTCACAGCAACTGGAGAACCGACAGGCCACTTATGGCGTGCGACAGATGGCGACTATTCTCCCGACAGCGCCGACTCCCCTCGGGCCAGCGCGGCACTGATCTCTCTCGTCCGCAACGAGGAGCTTAACGAGCTGATTCCATCCATGCGTGATCTCGAGCGCACCTGGAACAGCAAGTTCAACTACCCCTGGATCTTCTTCAACGATGTGCCGTTCACTGAGGAATTCAAGAAGCGCACACAGGCGGAAACCAAGGCGAAATGCTACTACGGTAATTAGACACCAATCCAATCCGACTGACATTGATTGTCTAACTTTCCGTTGCAGAGCTGGTGCCTAAGGAACACTGGGAAGTCCCTGAGTGGATCAATTGGGATCTCTTCAAAGAGTCGGCGCAGATCCTGAAGGAGAAGAACATCCAGTATAGCGATAAGGTCTCCTACCACCAGATGTGCCGCTGGAACAGTGGCCTGTTCTACAAGCACCCCGCTCTTGCCAAATACCGTTACTACTGGCGTGTCGAGCCCAAGGTCAAGTTCTTCTGTGACGTGGACTACGACGTTTTTCGTTACATGGCCGACTACAACATCACATACGGTTTCACCATCAATCTTTTCGACGCTCCGGAGAGTATTCCATCTCTTTGGCCCGAGACCAAGAAGTTCCTCGCCGCAAACCCCTCCTATGTTTCGGACAACAACATGATGAACTGGCTCACTGATGACCAACTCCGCCCGGAGCACACCGAAGGAGGAAATGGTTATTCTACCTGCCATTTCTGGTCCAACTTCGAGATCGGAGACATGGAGTTCTTCCGGGGCGAGCAGTATTCTGCTTACTTTGACCATCTGGATCGGTCTGGTGGTTTCTTCTACGAGAGATGGGGCGATGCTCCTGTACATTCCATTGGTGTTGGTCTCTTCGCGGACGCAGCCAAGGTTCATTGGTACTTTAAAATGCCCCGAATTTTTCCGTGGCTATCTTGCTTACGAGTTTGTTTTGATCAGGTTCCGTGACATCGGTTACAATCACATTCCCTACTACAACTGCCCCAACTCGCCGAAGTGTTCCGGCTGCACACCTGGCAAGATGTATGCTGGTGAATCTTGGCTGGCTAAGGAGGATTGCCGGCCTAGCTACTTCCATCATGTCGGAACACACTAGACGTGCTGGCACAAATTAATGCTGCATTTGATTCGAATTATATGTGCATAATAGCGGCGCAGACATTCTCCGCGGCCTTGAAACCGATTCTGCAACAGGTGCAACGAACAGGTATCGTTCCCCTGGCGCATAGGCGTTATGATCTCGGCCTCGGAACCTGGGGGGGTTCACCCCGGTAATAGAGATCTCGTGTCGTCCAGTATTGCAGGTTGCCTACGCAGACCTCAATGCAAGTGTCAATCACGGCCTCATTTCATTCTTCCATAACATACACCTTCATGACATGAGTCATTCAAAAACCAATATCAGAATTTCGGCGGCGTTTGACGGCTTGATTTCTTTTTTTTCTATATTCTTCCTTTCATGTTGTTCCTACTATTTATAGTCTTCGTTGTGTTATCCTACCTTGAAGAGGATCGCTGGAGCGGGCCTTGGCTGTATCTATATATTTCATGATTCTCATACTGCTTCACGCTATCGACGCAATAAAAGACTCCTGAATACATCAGATTAGATGCTGCTGTTTCCCACGGGTTAGCGTTATGATTCGCCATTTTGTCCTCACATTGGTCAGAGCGCTATTGTCTTCATAGTTACTGCTCCGGACTGTCCCACCCAGTTTAACCCCTCCGGAATCTAGATTGAGGTTATTGATGGAATGGAAAAGAAAATGACACCCTCTTATTTTCCGCACTATCACCAATAATACAGAGTACAGATAAATGCTCACAAAATTTATAGTAGCACTGGTATAGAAAAGCACGCGTGCACCTCCATTCCACCCCCAGACAGTCAGGAAGTCGGAAGCAGATGGCGTTAATCAGAGACGGCCCACCGAATAGATCAGCGACTTCAATCGATTCCAACTGCACTCTAGAGTATGTATACAGCTTTCCTATCACAATTGACGGGGGAAGGAGCAAAATGAAACATGACGAGATATATGTCGGGACGTGCCGTTTACGCCTCCTCGGGGTAGAGCTCCTCACGGAGAGCAACACCCAGCTCCTGGCGGAGACCCTCAAGGGCCTCAAGGTATTGCTTGTACTGCTCCTGGGTCTCGACCTTGGCCTTGACACCTATTTGTAGAAAAGGAAGAGAAATCGTAAGTTCAATTGTCATGTAGAGGGAACGGTAATGAATGGGGGAGGAGAAAGCGCACCCTCGAAGATCCGGACAGCGGTGGGGTAGTCGTTGACGCGACGAGCAGCCTTCAGAGCAGCGGTGAGGACCTCAACGGAGGGAACGAGATCGTAGGCGAAGCAGTTGTTGAGATTACGCTGGATGGGGAGAAAAGTAACTTGTTAGCAAGGGTGTCTGATATGGCGCCAAGGGAGTGCGGACAGTCCGGTTTTATCTGCCAATGGCAGCTTTGCTGATTATATGGGGCAGGGAAATGATAGGGACGGATTGGAATCGTGCGGCATGGGCAGATTAGCTTACCTGGAGCTCGAAGACATCCTGAACACCGTCGAATTCCTTCTCGAATCTACCAGAATATTGGGGTTAGTTATATGGGTGAAACTCGCGGGTTGGTGTTGTATCATCAGGAAAGATGTGTGAATTGTCTCGGAGGCTGGTGGTGGGAAGCCCTGGGATCGGGGATCGTGCAACGCAGGGAGCGTCGGAACCCAATGGCTTCACGGAAGGTAATTGCATACCTGGCAGAGAACTCCTCGTATGTCTCGTCCTCGTGGTGACCGCCGAAGCGCTTAGCGGAGGTGCTGAAGCTGGGACGGGCGATAGCCAGAGCAACGGGGGCCTGCACCCGGGGACGGGGCAATTGAGCAGCTCTGATGAAGCCGGAAGGGCGGACGGCGCGGGTCGCGACGCGGAAGACGGAGATGGGCGACATGACGAGAGGAGGGTGGGTTGTGGAGGTGGACGAATGGACGTGGGTGAGGGGAGATCAGGACGGGCGAGGTGTTGACGAAGTTCGAAGTCTGAGGTTCTGCCGGCTACGCTAGGATTTTGCGGGTGGTGTGAGGTTGTTGCTGCCTCAGGCCAGCAGTCAGGTCAGCCCGTCATTGATAATCGCCCGCTTCTCTTTTGCGGCTTGCGGCTTTCCCGTTCGCGCCCGAGTCCGCTGATACCTCAGGCAGAAATAGGCATGCTGTCATTCGCTGCCTCAGGTCTCTTCCCCATCCGGATTTTTATATGCCGTTGATGATTGGCGGATGTCGATGAGCCCTGATTGTTGGTTCTGATTGGCTGGTTAGTCCATGCCTCGGAGTGAGTAGGACAAACATGACTAATCACCACCGAACAGGTTATCAAACAAGGTCATCACTGTATCAGATTCAGGGACTTGAGCCTGAGATGAAGGTTCTCCTGGTGGTCCGCGTCCCGGGACTCCAACTGCGATCTTTTGAGTTTACACCCCCATGTGGCGATCCTTATATCTCCTCCAAGCCTCAAATTTGAATCAATCCTTTTTCTCCAATGTAATCTACTAAACTTGATGCTGCTACTAGCAAGGACTGATGCTCCTATGTGGTACTGATCGAACCAGCCGTCCCCGTTATATATATTTGGTTTGACTCGGAGTTCGGAGTAGTACAACGTCACGGTTTGTTGACAGGGCTTCCCGAAAACCAATGGAATGCGTCAGACATGTTTTACCTTGAATTTAGATATCCTTGTAAAGATCTAAGACCATGCGCATTGCACACATTGGAAATCTGGATCGATCGGGTTTCAGAAGGTTGCGGCAAGTGCCCTGGGGACCCTGGTTATCGGTTTCAATTTACCATTAAAGCTTGCGCCCGTTCAAGTTCCAAAATTGAGACGAAATAATTCAATGTCTTGGCAATAGGCTATCCTAGCACGTAATCACGCTTTCTGCCCAGATTGATTAACTCTTTATGTCTGTATTGAGGCTGATGAAGAATGTACAGTATGTATCTAAGCGAGAGGCAGACCAAGCATGTGAACGGGAAAGTGAGGTGGTCTGTGATTTCCCCAGAAGGTCGAACATGTTTGACGGAACCAGTGAACTGCCGACTATTAGTGGCCAGATTGATACATCCCAATCTAATTTGAAACGGCACATCTGGGGCACACCCCTCTCAACGTGCCTGGCAACTCCATCGATATGCAGGAAATGTTAAGCTTGAGGAGAAGATTAACAGACAATTACGCTGAACGCAATTAAGCCAAGGACTGTAGCGGCGGACACAAAATTCAGTGCCTGGGAGACCCGGAGGCCGGAAGGCACATGATCGCCGGGCCCTAGAGCAAAATGCCCCTTTTCAACCGCTGGCCGAGGCTGCACTAGTCCGCATTCGGACCCTGCGGGCGCGCCGGGAAGCCCAAAAAAAAGACACGCGGATTGATCCTCCTTCCATTGCAAGGCAGGCCAGCTCTTATTCCACCCTCTCCACCTTTCCTTCTGCTTCTTTTGCTTCTTCCCTCCCCTTCTCCTTCCTCTGTATCCCCCTCAATCTCGCTTGCTTCGCTTCTTTCCTTCCTTTTTATCCTCCTTCTCGTCTGCTTTTCTTCTTTTCCCTTCTTCCCCCCCAGTTCCTTCGGCTGTTTCGGTCCGCATTCCTGCGACCAGTTGAGAAAGCGAAAAAGGGAGCGTTCCGCTGTCATTCTTCCGGAGTTGTTTTCTCTTCGACTGCACTGTCGCATACATTGCTTCGTCTTGATACCTTGAGATTTCCTTTCACCATGGATGTCTTGCAAAGTCTGCCTTTGCCGTCAATTGACCGGCCGTTTGGCATTCACCTATGGCCTATCTTCGACAAGGCCTTCGAGCTGGTGGTGGGCTATCCCGCCAGCGAATTTCGCTTCGAAGAAGGCGTGACGCCCATGTCTACTTTCAAGGAAACCGCCGTGGCGCTCGTTGCCTACTATGTCATCATCTTTGGTGGCCGTGAGTTCATGAAGAACAGACCTGCCTTCAAGCTCAACACTCTCTTCATGATCCACAACCTTTACCTCACCCTGATCAGCGGCACTCTCTTGGCTCTCTTCATTGAGCAGCTTCTCCCTACTGTCTGGAGACATGGTATCTTTTATGCTATTTGTGATCACGACGGTGGATGGACGCGGCCTCTTATTGTTCTGTACTACGTAAGTACTCACGGCGCTGGACAAGGATTGCTCCGATCGGATCCGGTATGCTAACGACATCGCGAATAGCTCAACTACTTGACCAAGTACCTCGAACTTATCGACACCGTCTTCCTGTTCCTCAAGAAGAAGCCTCTTACCTTCCTTCATACCTACCACCACGGCGCGACCGCGCTTCTCTGCTATACCCAGCTCATTGGTTTGACTGCGGTTCAATGGGTTGTCATTGACATCAACCTTCTGGTGCACGTCGTCATGTACTGGTACTACTTCCAGAGTGCCCGTGGTATCCGTATCTGGTGGAAGGAGTGGATCACCCGTCTCCAGATCATTCAGTTCGTCATCGATCTCGGTTAGTAACCCTTTCCACCTCCGTCCTCGCTTCAACTAACCGGATTGCAGGCTTCATCTACTTCGCGTCCTACACCTACTTCTCCTCTACTTACTTCCCCTGGGTTCCCAACATGGGCAAGTGCGCGGGCGAGGAGTTCGCCGCCTTCTCCGGCATGGCTGTCATCAGCTCTTACCTCTTCCTTTTCATCTCCTTCTACGTCGCAACCTACAAGAAGGCTGCCAAGTCCGGCCGTCCCCGCCGCAACACTGGCAAGCAGGCTGTTATCGACATGGCCAAGTTCGAGGTCTCTGCGCCGCACGCTGACGCCAAGGGCAACAACAAGTCCAACGGAGCTGCTGTGTCGACCGGTCGTGCCAATGGCCCGGTTACCCGCTCCCGCAAGGCTTAAGTCCTGGGATCTCATCTAATTCATTCAGGGAAGCGCGATAGCGCATCTCTCGGTGCTTGCTCGCTCGCAACCTGCCCTTGCGAACGATGTCTCAACCCCACTTATCTTTATTCTCACGCCTCTGCCGATGTTGGCAAACTCCACGGCTTAGCGACGGAGTACCAACCACACAATGCCCTTGGATTCCACCCTTGATTTTTTCACATCCGGCACCCCAAAACTTTATATTTATTTAATGAATGACCCTGACGACCCTGGTCGCCTTGCTTTGCGACCAGCTTATGCATGTGGCACCGCTGCTTTGCAGGGAAGGCGCCAAGCTAATCCCAGCGAGGGCGTATTGGAGTGGGTGAAGTTCTCCCTGGGGATATGTCAGGCAAGAGATCTTGCACTGGCTGTTTCCGTTTCCAGGCTGTATTCTAGATGTTTTTCTACTTCTTCGGGCAGTCGTTTGTGCGCTGCTGGACGTTGACCTTTCCGACGCGATTCCTAGTGGAGCGGAGCATTATAGACGATAAGGTCAACGTAAATGTAATCATGGTTATGTGTCTTTGTTTTTAATTGATCTTTACCTGTACATAATTGATTACTAATAATCAAAAATGCATGGTTCTGTTTACCACACGTGTTAGGTATGGGTGCACAATTGGTCTTGGGCGTCAAGAACGAAGGAGCGTCGAAGGAGGATTGGGAGGATTTGAGCAACACGACGGCTGGCTATTGAAAGCCATCGGACGGCGTGTTAAACGGCAAAAACGAGAAACGGCTGGGCGGGCAGTCATTCAATTGACTGACTATATGGTAAGACTGCGGGTGGTTGGGTTGATGTGCCATTTGCCCATCGATTAAGCACATTTATCAATAGTTTTCCTGAGGGCAACGGGCGGTCAACAGGCTCCCTGTTTTTGAGCTTCGGTGGATGGCCGAACAATTGAGGTCGCTTGTGGGTATGACAGCATGACAGGGCGCAATATCGCGATGTTAGTCGCTAGGAGATCGGAGTTGCTGGAAAGGCGGGATCGACCCTCGAAGTTACTCCGAGCCGAGATCGTCATGTCAACTATCTATCATGGCTCTCGATGGCCTTTCTCCACCTCCCTCTCAGCTTCCTGCTGACAATCAGGTACAATATGCATATGATTCTCAACCTTCTGGAGCATTCTGCTGAGCGGAAATATCTAAACTCAGTTATAGGTGATTTATTATCACTTACCGGTCAATTGTTAATCTGGTCTGAAACCGAAGGGCAAATACTGTTGTAAGTGACTATTGCTACTATGTATAGGCGCCATAATCTAAGCTCTAAGCCCGACCCGGGAGTGGCTCCAATGGGCTGAAAGCTTATCACTGCCACCTCGACTTCTCGTGTCCATTGCTCCTGTGAATCCCTCGATCTTGCAGTCGGCTGGAGCCGTGGATCCTGCGCAGATCCAATGGTTCATGCAGCTAAAGTGACAGTGTCCTTTCTCATCTGCCTAATATCTCCACTCTTTGCAGAGTACGCTGTCTTGCTACCACGAGCTGGTCTACCTAATTACTTGGTCCGTGTGGGATCGCCCAATAGACGATGCCAATGGCTTGGACTATGAGATCTAGACGCAGTAGTTTGGGGTTTAGCCTGCCTAGTTGCTATTTTCTTTTTCACAATGGCCAGCGATGCAGAGCCGTATGGGTCCATTGCTGCATTGATGCCAGAGTCCGATACGGCTTTGGTGATGATTCTGTTGAGGATCAACATGAGTAGAGCAGAGCACTGACCTCGTTATTGCGCTTCTTCGAGGATCTTCACGTTCGGATGAGAGGAGCTCAGTGATCCGAAGTATCCAGACCATGATGCCATGGGCTCTGGGAACAGCATAAAAGGGCCCTCGATTCCTGCCCTTCTGTCTGTATTCCATCCAGCATCACAATCGCATTATCTCTCCAATCCTCTACAAAGAACACTTTCACTTTAGTTTTTATAACTAATCTTTACCACTACAACCGACACCATGCGTTTCTCCGTCATCTCTGTTTCCCTCCTCTCCCTCTTCGC